ATGGCGCGATCTCGGCTCACCGCAACCTCCGCCTCCTGGGTTCAGGCAATTCTCCTGCCTCAGCCTCCTGAGTAGCTGGGATTACAGGCACGCGCCACCATGCCCAGCTGATTTTTTGTAGTTTTAGTAGAGATGGGGTTTCACCGTGTTGACCAGAATGGTCTCGATCTCTTGACCTCGTGATCCACCCGCCTCGGCCTCCCAAAGTGCTGGGATTACAGGCGTGAGCCACCGCGCCCGGCCAATGTTACGTTTTTTTAAAAATTAAATAGGCCGGGCACAGTGGCTCACACCTGTAATCCCAGCACTTTGAGAGGCTGAGGCGAGTGGATCACGAGGTCGGGAGTTCAAAACCAACCTGGCCAAGATAATGAAACCCCATCTCTATGAAAGAATTAAAAAAATATATATGTATATATAATGTGTGTGTGTGTATATATATTATATATATATTATATATATATAATATATATATATATAAATTACACATTTCTAATTCTTTTGTTTTTCTTCACCAGAATCTCCCTTAGCAATTTTTTAGTTACATTTTTTAAATGGATTTGGGTTCCTTTTTCTCAAAGAACCTGAACTGCCTTCACTTAACTTCTCTACATTTCAGTGCTCCTAGAGATAGAGAAATCAAGGGCATTATTATTGTTAGCACTGCTTTTCAGCCAAAGAGAAGAAACTGAGAGCGATGAAGTATCTTGCTTAAAGCATCACATAGTATAGCTCCTAGGTAGCAAGGCCAGGACTAGAACCTGCACCCCTTGCCTTGCACATGTTCTCACATCCTGTAACTTATCTGGCTGAAGAATAATTTAATAAATGCTCTCCTAACTTCATGCAGGAGGCGGAACCTAGACCCCTCTTGACCCCTTACATCCCACTCATCGTTAAATTTTAAAATGATGTTCTCTGAAATTTTTACTTTATTGTAGCGTAAAATGCAGCATGAGGATGAGGGTCCAGGCTGATAGGTATTTCACTTAGCAACTATTTATTTAGTACTCAGAACACACTCGGTGCTAGGGTCAGGCACTGTAGATGAGTAGGGAGTGGGCCAGACAGGGACGAGATGAGCAGGATCAAGCCCAGGGGGGTGCCAGGTACCGCCGCTCCGGCTCCAAGTGATGCGCGCAGTGGAGGCGGGGCACGGTGATCGCGGAGCATCTGGGGACGACCGGCCTGAGGGAGGCCGCCAGTCCCACGGAGACGCCCATCGGAGCCGGACCCAAACGCCTCGGAGAAGACTCTCAGGGGAGGGGCTCCGCGGCCGTCGCAGGGCCCAGCCGTTAGTCCCGCCGGCCGCGAGGAAGCAGAGGACTCACCCGATACCAGCACTTGCGACTCCCCAAACTCTCTCATCCTCCCGGCCGGAAGTAAACTGCGCGATCCGAGCTGCTCAACCGCCCACCACGCACGCCCGGGCGCACGCCAGCAAGACGAGCTGCCGGACTGCAGCTCCCGGGATGCACTGCGACGGCATTGACAGATGCAGCAGCCAATAGACGGTAGATGATACCCTCGAGGAGCCAATCCCTCGGGCAGGAGGCGGGCCCTCTCTGTAGTTCCTCAGCAGTCAGTGGGCGTCTCCGCGGCGAGAGGCATGGACACCGCCCCCAACCCGTGCTCGCTGGTGCCGGGTCCCGTGTACCCCGGTCCAGAGTTCCCAGAGAGGTGAGTCCACTGCAGGTGGGTGCGGGACGCCGGGCAGCTCGAGGTAGTGTTGTCGCAGGCGCCAGCCCGAGCTCGCGCCGGCCGTGGAGTTCAGCTGCGCAGTGGGTTGCGGCAGCTTCGCCAGGCCGGGGGCTGGCTGGGCCGCGGGGCCGCCCTGGAGGCCGGAGCCGCCGGGCCTGCGGCGCCTCGGCAGCGAGCAGCCGCCTAGCTCTCGTGAACGAGGCTCTCCGCTCCCTCACACCCCCGGCTGACGCTGTGGCCTTGCTCGGTTGTACCGGTTAGCTCCCGATGACATGCGTCAGGTCGGTTTCCGCCGGGATGCGGGAGAGTTGGGGCAAGCTACCTGTGACAGCTTGAACTTTTCTTAGGAATTCCGCTCCACCCGCCGGTTAGAGCATATTTCTCATTTCACCCGAGACCTGTGTGCTTGCTACTGAAATAAAAGAAGTATTTTTTTCCCCAGAGTCCTTTTAGGACGTTATGACTTTTCTCCTTTGCAAAACTGCAAAAAACTGACAGGAAGACAAAACTCTTCCCACTCCCAGAGATCGCTTTGTCTTGAGTTTGGGGTAAAGACTAGCAAGTGAGGTTTTGTTTCTGCATCCCGTTCTCCCTAACATCCTGAGAAAACCTTCGTTTCTAGCGTCTTTCTGGCATTCAGAGAGACTTCTCTAGGGTCATGATTACAAAGGCTTAACCCATTACAAGGAGAGAGTTGTCTCCTGATCCCCAAAATGGCAGCTAAAATGGAGATAACTTTGAGCTCGAACACTGAAGATTCCTCTAAGCAAGAGAGACACATAATAACAAAACTAGAGGAGAAACGGGAGCCTACTCCGCAAAAAAACTGCCCGGATCCTGAGCTCTGCCGCCAGAGCTTCAGACGCTTTTGTTATCAAGAGGTGTCTGGACCCCAAGAGGCGCTTTCCCAGCTCAGACAGCTCTGCCGTCAGTGGCTGCAACCTGAGCTGCACACCAAAGAGCAGATTTTGGAGCTTCTGGTGATGGAGCAGTTCCTGACCATCCTGCCCCCGGAGATCCAGGCTCGGGTCAGGCATCAATGTCCAATGAGCAGCAAGGAGATTGTAACCCTCGTGGAAGATTTTCACAGAGCATCCAAGAAACCAAAGCAGTGGGTAAGGAGGGTCCTCTCCCATGATCCTGGGGATTTCTTTTTCATCTGGGTAATGTTTGGTATCCGGATCTCTCCCTGTTTAAGGACTGAGTCTCAGAAGTGGACTGGATGGCTTCAGAAGTTGCTTCCAGCCTCTATCTGGGAACCTACCCTGAGTTGTAACAGGTTTTTAGAAAACCCAACTACTGGCCAGGCGCGGTGGCTCACTTTGAGAAGTCGAGGTGGGCAGATCACCTGAGGTTGGGAGTTTGAGACCAGCCTGACCAACATGGAGAAACCCTGTCTCTACTAAAAATACAAAATTAGCCGGGCATGGTGGCACATGCCTGTAACCCCAGCTCTTCAGGAGGCTGAGGCAGGAGAATCACTTGAACCCGGGAGGCGGAGGTTGCGGTGCAGTGGGCCAAGATCCAGCCATTGCACTACAGCTGGGGCAACAAGAGTGAAACTCCATCTCAAAAAAAAAAAAAAAAAACCCACTGCTGATACTCAGTGAAGCAGTAGAGGACCAAGGTTCTTAACATTCTTTTATGCACCTTGTGCCACCAGAAATAATTGTAAGGTTCTTGTACCTTTTATGTCAGAACTTCCCCAAACTCATTTTCTTAGTTTTCCTACAATCAGAATTCTTAGCAGGCAGGATCACCCTTTTGGATAGCAGTTGGACTTTGGGGAACTTAATTTCATTGGAAGTTCTAGCTTATTGTGTTTCCAGTGTTTAGCTTATTGTATTTTTTTTTTTTGAGATGGAGTCTTGCTGTGTTGCCCAGGCTGGAGGAGAGTGGCATCATCTTGGCTCACTGCAACCTGCGTCCACCTTGGGGTTAAAGCAGTTCTTGTGTCTCAGCCTCCAAAGTAGCTAGGATTACAGGCGCCCGACACCATGCCCAGCTAATTTTTGTATTTTTTAGTAGAGAGGGGGTTTCACCATTTTGGCCAGGCTGGTCTCAAACTCCTGACCTCAAGTGATCCTCCCACCTCAGCCTCTCAAAGTTTTGGGATTACAGGCATGAGCCACCACACCTGGCCTAGCTTATTGTCTTTTTTGTTTGTAGTTTTTTTTTTTTTTTTTGAGACTGGGTCTCACTGTGTCACTGAGACTGGAATGCAGTAGCACGAGCTCGCCGCTGCCTCCACCTCTGGCTCAACTGACCCTCCCACCTCAGCCTCTCAAGTAGTTGGGACTGCAGGTACATGCCACCACAACTGGCTAATTTTTGTACTTTTGTAAAGACAGGGTTTCTCCACGTTGCCTAGGCCGGTCTTCAGTTCTTGGGCTCAAGCAATCTGCTCGTCTTGACCTCCCAAAGTGCTAGGATTACAGGTGTGAGCCACACCATGACTGGCTTATTGTCTTTAGATCAGGAAGTTACAGTTCAGTTGGCCAATGTTGCCACTGCTTGCCACTCCACTCCGGGAAATCAGACCCCAGTCAGGACCTAGGCAAGAAACAAACAGCAGGTACTTTGGAAAATAGAACTTGTTAGGGAATGAGGGTGGGGTGGTTCTCTTAGATCTCTACTACTACTGGGATCTGCTTACCAGGAAAGCCTTTGGCAGAACAACGCATTAGATAAGAAGGGTTTTTAACAGCCCCTCACCATACTGCTTTCTGTTCCTGGGGGGCCTATTTCCAGCAGAAGTAGGTAGGAAGATGGTGTGTAGAGTAGGCATCTGATGGCCCAGTGTTGTGACTGTTTCTGATGTTTGTGCCAGCAACTACCCTGATGACTTTGACTCAGGCCCTTGAGAAAGGCCCAGGCTTTAGGGGAAGCCACTCAGCTGACTTGTAGCATCCTCGTTCGTGTCATTCTACATGCCCTTACCTTTGCTTCCTTTGAGGGTTTCAGTGGTTTCTATGAAAGTTGATCTCTAGATGGTTATCAGCAGTTCCCAAAGTAAATAGGTCATTATATAACAGTGAGAGATCAAGCTTCCCTCAGTCCTGAAGGATGGAATTAATGGATGGGTCTTGTTCCTAGGTGGCTGTTTGTATGCAGGGGCAGAAGGTGCTCTTGGAGAAAACTGGATCGCAGCTTGGAGAACAGGAACTGCCAGACTTTCAACCACACACTGCTAGGAGAAGTCTCAGGGAGACCTCTCCAGCAGAGTCTTCCCAGGCGGAAGCTTATGACCAGCTGAGCCCCCATCATTGGGAGAAATCCTCGCTCCTCCAGGAACCAACCCCAAAATTGGCTGGGACAGGTAAACACTCTGTGCCGTTTCTCTCTCTCTCATCAGTCCTTTATCTCCATCAGTGTATCTCATGGTTCTGAAAAGGCATAGACCACATGTGTGTGTGTTTTTAAATGTTGTATATAATAGTAGGTGATTATTCCCTAAACAAATTTCACCAATTAGAATGGTGGTGATACTATAAATATGTTTTTATCATTTTCTGTTAATGAATATTTGACAATCCAGTGTATGACAGGATTGTACCAACTTTTCTGTCCCTTTAAGAACTTCTTTTTTTTTTTTTTTTTTTTTTGAGACGGAGTCTCACTCTGTCGCCCAGGCTGGAGTGCAGTGGTGTGATCTTGACTCACCACAACCTCCGCCTCCTGGGTTCAAGTGATTCTCCTGCCTCAGCCATCTGAGTAGCTGGGATACAGGCACACAGCAGCATGCCCGGCTAATTTTTGTATTTTTAGTAGAGACAGGGTTTCACCATGTTGGTCAGGCTGGTCTTGAACTTCTGACCTCGTGATCTGCCCACCTCGGCCTCCCAAAGTGCTGGGATTACAGGTGTGAGCCACTGCGCCTGGCCCAGAACTTCTTATAGAAAAGACAGATCCAAATATGGCCACAGATGAACTTCCATGCAAGCTATGGTTGAGTTTCATTACTTAAAATGCTCTCCTGTTTAGAAGGGGCCTGGAAGAGGAAAAGCTTCACCCCATATCATTTATCTTTGTCCTCCTCTGTGATGATGTTTGTACTTTAAATCCTCGAATCGATTTCCCTTTCTCTGATGTGATACTTGTGTTACCGCTGCCCTTGTTGTATACAATCCTGTGATCTCTAAGCCTGAATGACAGTGACAATTTGGCCAACCCTGGTGATGTGAATATAAGATACAGTGAGCACGTTAGAGAAGAGGGTTATGACAACACAAAATCCTTATTTTCTTAACATTTGCTACATTCAGTGATGTACTGTGTGTCTTAGTCTCTTTATATATTTGCTGCTAATATAAAATACTAGAGACTAGGTAGTTTATAAATAACAGGAGTTTCTCACAGTTATAGAGGCAGGGAAGTGTGAGTTCAAGGTGCCATCATGGTTGGGTTCCAGTGAGGGCCCTCTTCCAGATCACAAACTAGCCTGCTTCTCTCGGTCCTCATGTGGTGGAAGGGGAAGACTGGCTCCTGGGAGCCTCTTTCATAAAGGCATTAATCCCATTCCAGTGAGGGCAGCACCCTCATAACCTAATCAAAGGCCTCACCTCCCAAAAGCCCCATCTCCTAATACTATTACCTTGGGAGTTAGAATTTCATATGAATTTGGGGGAACATAAACATTCAGCCCCTGGCAACCACAGCCTACTTTTTGTCTCTGGATTTGCTTAGCCAGGACATTTTATATAAATGGAATCACATAGACTGGGCACAGTGGCTTACACCTGTAATCCCAGCACTTTGGGAGGCCAAGGCAGGCAGATCACTTAGGCTGGGGCATTCAAGACCAGCCTGGGAAACATGGTAAAACCCTGTCTCTACAAAGGTACAAAAATAAGTGGGGCATGGTGATGGACGCCTGTAATCCCAGCTACGTGGG